ATAAAACAAAACAAGCCGGAAAAAAAACCACAAAGATGGGCACAAAAACAAGTCGGAAGGGAGAAAAAACCTGCAAGCCGAGACATTAATAATTTAATATGACAAAAAGATGAGCACAAATTGAAAACCAACACACAAGTGCACTACTGCCTTTTGTATCTTAACACATGTGCCGAAACAGAACCAATTCCTTCATGAGTACAAAGCTATGCAAATAATTCGAATCATGTAAATACCTCGGAGTCTGTAAACCGTAATCGGAACAACCCGAAAAAATTGCTCCGGAAATATTTCAGTCGCAAAAGCTAAATATTTACTGAAAACTTCAGGCTTTTAGAATTAATACGCACCAACTTCAGGTAGTGGTATTATAAAGCTCTTCGTGCTGATAACGTATTATAAAAATATTACTAAACTAGCGATATGAATATAAACATAAGAACAAGAGAGAGATAAGAGAGTAGAGAGAGATAAGAGACTTATATTCAGATGTATTTCTCAAGCATGAATGAACTCCCTATTTATACAAGAGGTTGGGGACCAAACTATATGAAACAAATAACTCTATCATTAATGCTAAATATTACAGAATCGTGTCTCTCTAATTTTGAATAGAATAATACACATTAATGGGATATTCAATCAAATCAACATATAATTTCATAACAAATTTAATATTTTTACTTTAATTCTTTGGCCTTATTTTAACTGATTCAACATCTTAACAAATTTTAAATTTTGAAAAGGGAAATATCTTTACACCTTTTTTTTAGTTATAATAACCGAATAGATTTGCTAGACAATTTTTTTTTTTAAAATAAACGGATGGATGGGATGATGATAAACATTTCTTTAACATGATGGGATGAGTCTGTTATAGAAAACTATTTTTTTGTGGTAATCTAATAGTAATATTATCTTTTTTTAAAAAAAAATTATATATAGTTTGTTAACGGGTTCAGATTAAACCATATATTTTTTTGAGGATACATGATGAGACTCATATAGCCTTCCATGGTGATTCTCCTAGTGAGGGAATGAGCTAGTCCTTCATTCTAGTTTTGGAATGCCAAGTTTACTTTGAGGACCAATCAAGGAAGAAAGGATGGATCTTGACTACCTATGTGATATGGAGTTGGTTCAAGAGAGCTATGATCAAGATGATGAGAATGTCATTAACTTTGGGGTTCAAACCGAAGGAGATGATTCACTCATGGAAATAAGTACTCAAGAGTATCAAGGGAGTTTGACTCTAGGTTCTCCATGAAGATCATGGATCAAGTTAGAGAGAAGAGTCATTTAGATTCTTAAATGGACGGCCTAATTGGATAGGTTGCAAACTATCTCAATTGTTTCAAGTATTTTTCCAATCTTTTGGAGTCAATAAAGAGAATTCTACAAGTTTTGGAGTAAATTGGAGTTATCTACAACTTGAGGGGCGCAATATTTCACTTTTGGAAGGGCGTTCAAGACATTTTACTTCAATATTTGGGGTTGATTTTGAGAATTAGAGTATTATCTGGTCTAGGAGTTATTTTCGAATTTTATTTAGTTAAATAAGTCATGTGGACTAAATTAAACTAGAGTGTTTTCATTAGGAGTCTTAGATTCCTTCTAAGTATTATCCTATTTGAGTCATTTAGATAAGGTTTCCTAGATTTTAGATAGAGTCAAAGAGATCAAATACTCTTCTACTTCTACTCCTGCGTGAGATAAGATTAGAGAGTCCTAGTTGGTCTTCTTTTTTTTTTGTGCTTTGGCCGAAATTGCTAGCCTATAAATAGGGGGGGATGGCCGAAAATTAAAGCACCCTTGAGTGGTCATTTTTGTTGTCTTTCTAATGAAAGTTTTTCCTATGAGGAATTTTTGTTAAATGATGTGTCCATTTTTCGTGTCAAGTATGATTTAACCAAGAGGGTATTCATCTTGTCTTGGATCTTTTGATCTTGCAGAAACCGTTCTTTTTCAAGTATGCTTCTTGATAGAATTGTTTTAAAACTAAACTTCTTATTTTCATACTACTTCTAGTAGTTTGAGAGTTGAGCCTTTCGTTTGGCTATGGTTTTCGAGTTCATGATGAGTGTGTCCATGAGTTCCTTTGTGGGGTTTGTCCTACTTTTGTTGGATGAGTTGTGCTTTGGCATAAGCATTTTGAGATAGTGTATGTGTTGCATATCTTTGTTGGTTATGGAGATTACTAATCAATAGTATTCCTTCATAGTTGAGCATTGTTTGCTCCTACCTTTCTTGAGTCTCTTGAATGATGACTGATCGAGTATATTGAATGGTGTCCTTACTATTCTTAGTGTGGGTTGTTGTTTAATTCGAATCTTTCATAGATAATGTGTTCTTTGCTTTTTGAGTTAAGAGATAGAATTCCTTAGATAAACGATCGTCTTACTGTGAATTTTCCGCACTCTTTTGAGTTTCACGGGAAAGACAAATTATCTTCGTACTTTAGTGTTTGATGGTTGCATTAACGAAATTTGTTTTATCTACGAGATTGCTATCAATACATGAATATATTTTGTTAAAAAAATCTTATCCATTATTTTTAAAATTTAGATCTAGTTTGTTAATATAACTTTTTAACTGTTATATATATTTCTTAAAACTAAATGATAATATGTTTACCAAACATAATCTTATTCAATTTTTTTTAAAGTTAAATGTAATTTGTTAAGATAGTATTTACAATTTAATTTTTTAACAAAAATAAAAACATGAAACCATATTTCTTTAAAAAGATATGTGAATATAGTTTGGTGAAAATAATCTTATTTGTTTTTTTCTTTAAAAAGATTTACATATAGATTGTTAAGATAATATGTTAGTAGTTGAATATATTTTTAAAACAAAACGACAATATAATTTGTTAAGAATAAGCTTATACGAATTCATTAAATTTAGATATATATTATTTACAACTTTTGATATTTTAAAACAAAATATATTATAAAATTGAAAAAATAAAGATCCATTAGAAATTGTAAATCTGATTAAGTGACAACTCAGTTTTACCTATTTACAATCTTTATATTGGTAATCTTATCTATATTTATAGATAGTTTTTGAATATATATATATATATATATATATAGATATTTAAATTTATAGTTGTAATCTTACAGTAATCTTATCCTATTTTTTTTAAAATAATTAAATATTGTTTGTCAAATGCATTATAAATGTCTATAGTTAAATCTTATCTTTCCGAGTTTATCCATTTAAGGGTTAGGGGATAGTTAAGATTAAACCACATTATTGTTAAAATTTCATGTACATTTTTCCTACATGTAAACTTTTGCTGCATGCTCACACCGACAATTCCCTTCTAATGAGGTAAACTATCCATTATTTTGTGCTCTCTTTGTCCCAAAAAAATAATCCATTTTAACCTTTAAAATTTGTACTACTTTTAGTACAAGTTTAAAAAGTCAATGTGGACTTTTTTTTCGCAATCTAAGGAGTATAGTATAAGATCTTTTCTTTATATTACTTATTTTTTTTCATGAATAATAACTAATTTTGTGAAATGCCATGTTTATTCAAGGTCAAATTCTTTTCATTTATTTTGGAGATGAGTAATGACAATTGTAAAAAAGGAATTGATCATATAAGAATTTGATGTGCATTGGTTGAAGGATCACACAACCGAAAAAAAATCATGCCTTCGTTTTTATTTGATTTTTTAAAAAAGAAAATATTGTGGATTATATTGAATTTAAAGTTATATACTCATCTATATATATATATACTAGTGATGTCTGGTCGCGCAATGCGCGACCCTGGCTCAGTCTATCTGTAGATCTTAGAAATGTTTATATTTGAAAAAAATAAAATTTTGTATTTGGAGCGATATATTTTAGAAATATTTGAAGGATTTAAAAATGTTTTATAAGTGTGATCATAGAAATATTTGTATTTCACAAAAAAAAATAAAAATAAATTGTATTTCGCCATGTATGTTTTAGAAATGTTTTATAAGTGTTACTTATTAAATATAAATAGCCTTAATCGAATATATGTGTTGAAGTAAATGTTAGATAAAATATAAAAGCATCCTAATAAATTTAAATATTAGTAAGATGATTTATTGATGTTCTCCATTGGTCGTGCCAAATCAATACTTAGTTTTGGAGATTTTTAATAGATTTGTAATAAGCTTCATCCGAAGGGTATACGCTTAAAACAAAATTGACACTTTGTAACAAAAAACCTAATTGATCAATTCAATTTAAAAAACCACTCTAGTTGAATGAAACATAAAGAAAAAAAAAACATGTCACATAAAGTGCAAAGGGAGATTGTAATTTTGTTATGGTTAGACAAAAGGGCAATTTAGTACTTTTTATATGCCACGTGACAATCATATGAAGTGTTTGAAAGGGATGTTTTTGTTTCTAATATAGTAGGATATATATATATATTCTGTTTGTCGCATCCGCTAGATGCGCGGGCATCTACTAGTAAAGATGAATTGATATGTAGTAGTATTAACTAATTGTTATGTCATCTTAAAAGGAAAATATATAAATCAATAATGGTGATTTTGAAATTCGAAATACTTTCATTTGGCAATTTGGCAATTTGGCATTTCCTTAGGCGGGGGCTTTTGAGGCGGGAAAACTCGAACAAAATTTTGCGAAAAATCAAAAGAAAACGTGAAAAGTGAAGCATCCAAAATTTCCCGCTAGATCCCGCCTTTTCCATTTTTCTCGAATTATTTCTCATTTTAATGATTTGGATTTTTATTATTTAAACCTTTTCCGATTACTTTAAACTTCCATTCAGTGAACAGTATACGCACTCACGGAACTCCTCGGTAAACAAGAACAGCAAAAGCCCACCAATAAAATACTCCCAGTGCTCTTATAGCGATTGATTAAAATACTTCAAAATCGCATTCCAGAACATTTTAATCGGTTTCTAAAGTTGGAGACAGCGAAGAAGAAGTTTTCCGAAAAGGGTTTGATTTTCCCTTCTTTTTGAAGTGAAAAATGGGCGCCGCAACTCGCCTGAAACGACCTGCCGTCGATGATAATGGTGAAGTATCTGTTCTGGTGGCATTTCATTTTTTCGGTGGTGGTTGTTTTTCTTTGATCCTTTTTAATTTATTATTCTGTTGCTGTTTTGTTCTTTGGTAGATTTATTTGTTTCTTTTTTTTTTTTGGTGTATGGGTTTTTGCTTTTGGGTGCATTGAAGTTCATATTGCAATTCGTTGTTTTGTTAATGTTGGTAAAAAAGTGGTGAAAGAGCTCCTTATGGTTCGTATTCTTGAAGTCGATGCTGGTTATGGGAATTGGGATTTTGTATCTTCGAGTTTCAAGAGTTGTGTAGAATCAATGGTTCTGGTTTCCGGATTTATCAAAAATTCGGTAAAAGATTGAGCTTTAAAGATACTGGCGAATCCTTTTGATGGGTGCATGTGACCGATTTCATGATGTTTTAGTTTGCTTTCAAATTTTAAAACTTTCTGTGCAACGGGTTGTCGAACGTTTTTGTGTGAAAGTTGAGTATATAGTTGAAGATGTACAAATGTCTGTTATTTGGGTATTTGGTGTTGGCGTTTATAAGTTGGTGCGTTTATTCACACCTGTTGTGATAAATCCAGAAGTTTGAAATGGTATTTCTTCCTTTGGTAACAGAGTTACTGGTTGGACAGTTACTTTTTATTTGTTATCACATTGCTTTTCATTTTTTGGGGGTTTACTCCCTTCAATGAGCAATTTGTTCCGGGATATCAAAATTGACGTTTTTGGTCTGGGTAATTTATGGATGGGTTTAGACCTGAAAGTGACAAATATTTGCCCCATTTTTTGAGGGTTGTCTTTTGTTTTGGGGCATTTTCCATGAATGAATTAACAAAGTCAAAACTCACTCTTGTATCAGATTTGTTAAAAAGTAGTATATTTGAAGTTGTTTCTCTATGGAATGGGTATAAGGGGCTCCAAGATGTGGTAAAGGACTCTTTATAGTAACTTTAGCTCATTTTTGTTTGCTACTGATTTTCGTGTTCTGTTTCTTTCTTGAAGAGCCAGAAGAAAACGTTCCGTTTGCTGAAGAAAATTTTTGTTGGCTTCTCAGTGATGCTTGTGATTGTCTTTGTCGTTCTGTTAGTTCCTATATTGTCACCCTGTGATCTATTGACAAATGTAAGAAGAGGTTTTAAGTCTAGCAGTCCTATGTGACAGCCGCTTCCATGAGTTGGGAAGAGGGTACATTAAATCTATGTAAGGAGAGCTTTTATTGCCTTCTATTAAGGGCTCCTAAGAAAAACTCAAATGAAAAAGATCTAAATAATTAGGGACATTTATGTTGCTATTTTCTTTTAGATAAACATTTATGCTTCAATTTCTTGAAATATATATGTATATGTATATATATTTATACATATATATATATATATCATAACTTAAGCTCGCTTCTTTAAACTACGGTATTTTAGGCTGCTTAATCACTTAACTCTTTGTAGCAATTTATAGTGTTTTTAGGCAAATATCTTGTTATCAGTTCAAAGCTGGTGATGCCTAAGGAGCCATGTTTTAATCTCATTCATTTTGCTCTGAAACTGCTGCTTAAAGATATAGAAAGTAGAGTTGTTCCTTCTTTTTTTTGTCATAATCTGATAATAAAAGAGAAAAACAAATCAATGAAAATTTGAAGTAATGTAATTAGATTGTCTGAATTATAATGTTTCTTGTCTGTTAATAGCTAGGTTTCAATAAAATTTATATCTTCCAGTAATGTAAAATTATGGCTGTGTTTGCAGAGCCAACCGTATTTTATGGTCTGGAGCATTAAAGATTGCTTCTTGTGGATTGATTCTTTTAATTTTAATCCTGGTGGAAACATTTTGAATGTCATTTGTGAAACAGCTGCATTGCATGAATTCCTGACTTCATTGATAGTTCCAATCCCTGAAATGAGAACAGCGTTTGTATTCTTGATTGGTTTTCTAAGTGTTATGCTTTTGACGTGCAGTACTAGGAATATTAATTTCTGTCTGGTCAATTACAATTTGTAGATGACAACTGAGGTCATGTGGATGTAATTTGAGCTGTCTAAATCCGCTTTGCTCAAATTTCTATCTGGTGTTGTTTTATTTTTGAGACCTGTTCTACTTTTTTTTACTTTTTACCCTATGTACAATAGGTGTCAAAGAAAATCATCAACCTCTCCTTGAATCCAAGAAGAAAGTGTCTAAACATGAAAGAAAAGATAAAAAGAGATCTAGCTCACAGAGTGTAGGGGAGCTTCCTTTGAGAAAGATGCCGAAGCGAGCTGCTGCTTGCTCAGAGTTTAAAGAGAAGCCTCTGCACATATCCAGCAAGTCAGATGTCATTGAAATGAAATTGGACCAATGTGTTGGAGAAGAGGTTGTAGCTGTTAAGTTGACGGCTGGGCAAGATGATGGTCGTCCTTGCAGAAGGCTCGTGGACTACGTTTTCCATAATGTGGCTGGAGAACCACAGCCATTGGAAATGGTGGAACTCGATGATGTTTACATTTCTGGGCTTATCTTACCTATCGAGGCGGGTGATGGTAAAGAAAAATCTGTAGGAATTAGGTGTGAAGGTTTTGGACGTATAGAGGAATGGGCAATTTCAGGTTATGAAGATGGATTTCCAACCATATGGGTGTCCACTGAGGTTGCTGATTATGATTGTTGTAAGCCTTCTGGTGTCTACAAGAAGTACTACGATCAGTTCTATGCCAAAGCAAGTGCATGCATTCAAGTTTACAGAAAATTATCAAAATCTTCTGGTGGAAATCCGGATTTGGGTCTTGAAGAGTTACTTGCTGGGGTTGTGCGGGCAATGAATGGTATGAAGTGCTTTCCCAGTGCAGCTTGTGTTCGGGATTTTATTGTTTCTCAGGGTGAGTTCATCTACAAAGAACTTGTAGGTTTGGATGAGACATCAAAGAACAGTGACCAGTCTTTTCTTGATCTGCCTGTTCTTATTGCCCTAAGAGATGTAGCTTCCCTGGAAGAAAATTTGCCACCAGTAAAGGCTGGGCTATCTGGTGGAAGTTTAAGAATAGGCCCTAAAGATGATAATTCGAACCATCGATCTGGTTCTTCTAATCCTCCAGAGGATGGGGATCACAGGTTAGCCAGAATTTACGATGATGGAGAACGCTGGCTCGCATTGACAACTAAGAAGAGTAGAGTTCCATCCTCATTGTCTAGCAAATATTATATCAAGATCAATGAGGATGAGATTGCAAATGACTATCCTCTGCCTGCATATTACAGTACCTGCAATGATGAGGCAGATGAATATATTGTATTTGATAGTGGGACTACTGAAATTGAAAATTTACCAGTACGAAAGCTACACAATTGGGCTTTATACAACTCAGATTCAAGACTGATATCACTGGAGCTACTTCCAATGAGGCCGTGTTCTGAAATCGATGTGACTATATATGGTTCTGGGGTGGTGACGGAGGATGATAATTCGGGGTATGTTTTAGACACTGATCCTAGTCAATTGTGTTCAAGTGGTTCTGGCACATCTGAAGTTGATGGGATGCCTGTTTTTCTGACTGCAATAAAAGAGTGGAAGATAGAATTTGGGTTCTCAATGGTCTTCATATCAATTCGAACTGATATGTCCTGGTATGCCTTTAATTTATCTTCTTTTAGTCATCATTTGGTTTCCGTTCATGCTTATTCGTTTACTTGCATTGGAGCTGATGATAAATGTCAAATGCAATTTTAATATTTGGAGTCTTTTTTGATTTCTCAGTCCACCTACAGGAAATTGTTGCTCTACATCTAAATTCTATTTATTTAATTTCTTCAGGTACAGACTTGGAAAGCCATCAAAGCAATATGCCTCATGGTATGAACCTGTTCTTAAAACAGCTAGGGTGGCTATCAGTATAATTACTCTACTGAAAGAACAGAGCCGAGTAGCACGGCTTTCTTTTGCAGATGTCATCAAGAGGGTATCAGAATTTAATAAAGATAATTGTGCTTTTATATCTTCAAAGGCAGATGTGGTGGAAAGATATATTGTTGTCCACGGGCAGATCATTCTGCAGCAGTTCTCTGAGTTCCCAGATGAAAATATAAAGAAATGTGCTTTTGTTGTTGGTCTTGCTCAGAAAATGGAAGAGCGACACCACACAAAATGGCTGGTCAAGAAGAAGAAGATGGTTGAGCGATGTTTGTCTAATTCAAATCCAAGAGCTGCATTGGCACCCATAGAGTCCAAGAGGAAGGCTATGCAGGCGACAACTACTAGGCTGGTCAACAGAATATGGGGTGAATACTATTCAAATTATTCACCAGAGGCAGCTGATGGAGTCAATCCTGATACGAATGAGGATCTCAAGGAGGATGAAGAAGTAGAAGTAGATGAAAATGAAGAGGACAATGCTCTATTAGAGGGTCAAAGAGTTTATCCTGAGAAAACTCACATGCCTACCTCATCATCAAGAGGAACCAAGTCATGTTCAAACATGAATATTAGGTGGATTGGTGAATCTGTTGGCAAAACATATACCGCTGGGTTGCTATACAAATCAGCCATTGTTCATACTGATGAGATCACAGTAGGGAGTGCTGTTCTTGTGGAGGAGGATGAATCAGATGAGGATAAAATTATGTATTTTGTGGAATATATGTTTGAAAAAATGGATGGAAGCAAAATGTTCCATGGACGTATGATGGTAAGAGGATCTCAAACTGTTTTGGGAAATGCTGCCAACCAAAGAGAAGTGTTTTTGATGAATGAGTGTGCTGATTTCAAACTGGAAGATGCCAAACAAAAAGTTACCATGGAAATAAGAAAAAGGCCTTGGGGACATCAGTACAGGAAAGATGATGCAATTGCCAATAAAACAGAGAGATTAAGATCTGAGGAAAGAGAAAAAAAGGGTCTACCAATTGAGTATTACTGCAGAAGCTTGTATTCGCCCGAGAAAGGTGCTTTCTTCAGTCTTCCTGTTAATGAATTGGGTCTTGGGTCTGGTTTTTGTTGCTCCTGCAAATTAAGAGAATCTGATGCCGACAAGGAGAAGTTTGAAATAGGCGCGTCTGGGACCAGTTTTTTCTACCTTGGGACTGAATATTTCATTTGTGATTATGTGTATGTAAACCCGCATCAATTTACTGCCAGAAAGGTTGAAAGTGAAACCCACAAAGGAGGGAGAAATGTGGGATTGAAGGCTTATGTTGTGTGCCAACTGCTTGAGATAGTGGGTCATACTTCAACTAGAAAAACTGAACCAAATCATGCCCAAGTAAAGGTCAGGAGATTTTTTAGGCCGGAGGACATATCATATGAGAAAGCATACGTATCAGATATTCGAGAGGTAAAAACTTATGGATGTATGTATTTAGAATTTCATGAATGGTATAGAATCTGCTGCATGATGGAACTGAACTGCTTTAGTGTGCCTTGTTGAAATGCGCTTTTACTTATTTCAACCAAAGAAAAAAGGCTTGTTTTTCTATCCTCCCATTTGGCTCTTTCCCAGGTCTATTATAGCGAGGAAATTCACAGGATATCAATTGACACAATTGAAGGCAAATGTGAAGTTAGAAAGAAGCATGATCTTCCATCTGATGAGGTCCCTGCCATCTTTGATCATGTTTTCTTTTGCGAGCACCTCTACGATCCTTCGAAAGGATCTCTTAAGCAGGTAATGTATCTTCATGTGCAATCTGCCACAGTTTATGATTTATTTTTGTCATCCTGATTGCATGGGTTTATAGACCAACCATGCTTTGATTTTCTTTCTGAGCAGATGCCCTCCAATATCAAGTTGAGATATAGTCCTATGAAGCTTGATCAGAATGAGGATTGCAGGAAGAAAAAGGGGAAGTGCAAAGAAAGTGAAAATGACCAAGGAGCTGAAAAGCAAAAATTGGATTCTCTAGCGACTCTTGATATTTTTGCAGGTTGTGGTGGCTTGTCTGAGGGACTTCAACAATCAGGTAGTCTGTTTTATTTAATCATAACATTTTTCCTTCTGATGTTTTCATTGCATCGAGACATTTATGTCTATGATGTTGCTTACGTTTTAGGTGTCACATCCACAAAGTGGGCGATTGAGTATGAAGAAGCTGCTGGAAATGCTTTTAAGCTCAATCATCCAGAGTCTCTGGTCTTCATCAACAACTGCAATGTCATACTAAGGTCTCTCTCTCTCTCTCTCTCTCTCTCTCTCTCTCTCTCTCCCCCCACCCCCACCCACACCCACACTGACAATATACATATTCTTGCGTAATGCAGGGCAATAATGCAGAAATGTGGTGATGGAGATGACTGCATATCTACTTCAGAGGCTAATGACTTAGCTGCATCTCTTAGTGAAGATGAGCTGGAAAGTTTGCCAGTTCCGGGACAAGTGGATTTTATCAATGGGGGGCCACCTTGTCAGGTATATCAGCCTTTTGGCCGATGTGACTTCATAGTTGATAATTAAATTGCCTGAAAATTTCCTTTGTTTTTTTTAGGGCTTTTCTGGAATGAACAGATTTAATCATAGCACTTGGAGTAAAGTTCAATGTGAAATGATTCTTGCATTTCTATCATTTGCGGACTACTATAGACCAAAATATTTCCTTTTGGAGAATGTGAGGAATTTTGTTTCATTCAATCAAGGCCAGACATTCCGTTTGACCCTAGCATCACTTCTTGAAATGGGTTACCAGGTACGCATGATGGCTTTCATCATGGAAAAAAGCCAATAAAAAAATTGTGTTTTCATGGAATCTTGAATGCATCAAACTGGTTGTGTAATATAGGTTAGGTTTGGTATCCTTGAAGCTGGATCATTTGGAGTTCCACAGTCCAGGAAACGAGCATTTATATGGGCAGCCTCACCAGAGGAGGTCCTTCCAGATTGGCCAGAACCAATGCATGTATTTGCTGCACCAGAATTGAAAATCTCATTGTCAGCAAATACTTATTATGCAGCTGCGAGAAGCACTGCCAATGGAGCTCCATTCCGGTCTCTAACTGTAAAAGATACAATTGGTGATCTTCCGGCTGTTGTTAATGGGGCATCAAAAATTAGTTTGGAGGTGCGGGAAACTCTTATTTTTTGTTCAATTGGTGATCTGGCTTTGTGGTGTTGGGCCGACACAGAACAGAGCCAGATTGGTTTCTTCTTTAAAGTGCTGATAATTTAGCAGCATCATATTAAGTTCTTTCTGTTAAAAACTATCAGCGGCATGCTTTTATTAACGCAAGTTTTTTATCTGCTCTCTTTTCTAATGCAGTACAAGTGTGACCCTGAATCGTGGTTTCAGAAAAAAATTCGAGGGAAATCTGTAGTTTTGTCTGATCACATATCAAAAGAAATGAATGAGCTTAATCTCATCAGGTGTCAGAGAATCCCTAGGCGTCCAGGTGCAGATTGGCGTGATCTGCCAGATGAAAAGGTAAATTGTAAAGCCAATTATTATGAAAAGAAAGCATGGATTCATGTGAAAAAGAAAAGCACATCTGAGTTCTCCTTAAGAATGAATAACTAAAGTTTTGCTTGGGAATTTCAGGTGAAATTGACTAATGGTCAAATGGTTGATTTGATACCATGGTGCCTGCCAAATACAGCCCAAAGACACAACCAGTGGAAGGGGCTATTTGGGAGATTGGATTGGGAGGGCAACTTTCCTACTTCTGTAACTGATCCCCAGCCTATGGGTAAAGTAGGAATGTGCTTTCATCCTGAGCAGGACAGGATTGTGACAGTTCGTGAATGTGCACGTTCTCAAGTAAGTTTAATCCAAAATTACTTGTTATTCCAATCTTTGCATAAATTTTCCTCTGAGAAGTAGATGAAAAGTTGGATGCTTAATTTCTATATCTTAACTTAAAAATCTGATTGCTTCAGATACAAAAAAGTGTAACTTGAAGCTGTTATAAGTTATAGTTCTCATCAGCACTTGAAGCCTGAACTTCCACTATTGAAATGACACCATTATTTAATTTTTTTCCTCTACTGCAACGTCTTCATTGTGTTGTAAAGTATTTGTAGCATGAATTGATGACATCAAAACTTGAGGCAGTTGGGGCATTCTGTTCATTTAAACCAGGACTTAACTACCTTTTAGGGTTTTACCTATCCTGCTTTTAACTTCAAGTTGAATAAAACAATTGTCCGTCCTTGCAGGGCTTTCCTGACAGCTACAAGTTTTCCGGTAATATTCTCCACAAACACAGGCAGATTGGTAATGCTGTACCTCCTCCTTTGGCGTATGCATTAGGGAGGAAACTCAAGGAGGCGATTCAGAGAAAGCATTCTGTTTAGGTAGACAGAGTGACAGGTTCTGCCTCTAGAAAAGCAACCATTTTTCCCCACTTAGGCATTTTAGTCTTAAGCTCTTCTGCCTTGCAGGAAGTTACATGCTCAAGTGTACATGTAATTGTTGTTTTTGCCTTTGGCAATCACAAACTATATAGTATGTATAGAGATTGTGGCATATGGGAAAATTTGCTCATTTGCTTGATATATGTAAGAAGAAAGTAAGTTAATTATATTATATATATGATGAATGGGAATTCATGTCCTTGTTCTTGTACTGTTACAGTTGAAGTCTTATCTTTTTCCATTTAGGATGCATGAAAGATTTGAAGGAAATTGGATTTGTTACAGACTACTAGCAAATGTCATAAAGGTCTCACATCTGGTAACATTGGTGTTGAAACCAACAATTAACGTGCTACTTGGAAAATGAAGGTCACTAGAAATAGTTCCTCATTCCCTTTGATGCTTCCTTATATTGTTACCAATCTTCTTTCCTTTGTTCCTAAATCCTCCCATTCTTTCGGCAGTGTGGTTTTCCTTCATTTATGCTATTCTCGTTAACGTTAGATTAAAATGTCCAAATAATCCCTTACATTTAGGCCTACTTGAATTTACGTATCTAATATTAACATTTTAATATCGTAGTCCTAAACATTATGTTTTTACACTTTTTTGGTTCCATTTCACTCATTCCGCCCGTTGATATTTCGGAATTAGGAGTATTTTTGTCTTTTAATTTAATTTAAATTTTTATTAAAATTTAAATCATTAAAAATATTTTAAAACTTAAATTTCATTATTTAATTATTAAAATATTATTTATTAATTAAAAATATTATTGTACAATTTTAAAATTTATCATTATTTTCAAAATTACTTTTTTCATTTACTATTTAGTTTAATTACAGACTAAATGGTACTTATGTTGCACTTTTAACTTTGGGCACACTGTAACTTAAAAAATTTACCAAATTACAGTAAATAATTCAAATTTCAATTTTTTTTAAAAAAAGAAAAAAAAGTAAAACTAAAATTTTTTTTACTCTGACCGCTACAGTAAACCTTAAATGGTAATTATGTTACACTTTTAACCTTGTATCCACTGTAACTTAAAAAATTTATCGAGTTATAGTAAATAATTTAAAATTTAATTTTTTTAAAAAAAAAAGAAAAAACAAAACCAAGATTTTTTTTACTTTGACCTCTACAGTAAACCCTAAATGGTAATTATAATACACTTTTAACTTTGGATTCACTGTGACTTAAAAAATTTAACGAGTTACAGTAAATAATTTAAAATTTATTTTTAAAAAAAAAAAGAAAAAGAAAAACCACGATTTTTTTTACTCTGACCGCTATAGTAAAGCCTAAATGGTAATTATGTTGCAATTTTAACCTTAGACCCACTGTAACTTCAAAAATTTATCGAGTTACAGTAAATAATTCAAAATTTATTTTTTTTCCAAAAAAAAAGAAAAACCAAGAATTTTTTTTTACTCTGACCGCTACGTTGCTTTTTTAAACCTTGGACCCACAATAACTTAAAAAATTTATCAAGTCACAGTAAATAATTCAAAATTTAATTTTTTTTTTTAAAAAAAAGAAAAAAGTAAAACAAAGTAATTAACCACTACAGTAAACCCTTATGTTGCACTTTAACCTTGGACCCAATGTACCTTAAAAAATTTGCCGAGTTACAGTAAATAATTCAAAATTCAACTGTAGCGGTCAAGTAAAAAAAAAATCTTGGTTTTGCTTTTTCATTTTTTTTTTTAAAAATTGAATTTTGAATTATTTACTGTAACTCGGTAAAATTTTTAAGTTATATTAGGTCCAATGTTAAAAGTGCAACATAATTACCATTTAGGGTTTACTGTAGCGGTCAGAGTAAAAAAAATTGTTTTGCTTTTTCTTTTTTTTTTCTTTGAAGAAATTGAATTTTGAATTATTTACTGTAACTCGGTAAATTTTTTAAGTTACAGTGGGCCCAAGGTTAAAAGCGCAACATGATTACTATTTACTTTGACCTAAGATAAATGATAAATGAAAAAATTAATTTTGAAAATAATGTAAATTTTAAAATTTTATAATAATATTTTAACAATTAAATAATAAAATCTGAATTTTTTAATTTTTTTAATGATTTAAATTTTAATTGAAATTCAAATTAAATTAAAAGACAAAAATACCCCTGATTCCGGCATGTCAATGACCGGAAACAGTGAAATGGGACCGAAAAAGTTTGAAAACATAATGTTTAGGACTATGATATTGAAATATTAATGTTAGGGACGTAAATTCAAGTAGGCCCAAATGTAAGAGACTATGTGGACATTTTAGTCTTAACGTTAACATGGTTCTTTCAGATTCACTCCATTTTCAAAGATGCATCCAATTGTTTTGGTCTCATGGCGGTCAAAACGCATTTAAACTTGGATCATTTGAAACTCTGCGCAATGAGCATCCCAATATTATTGTCTAGTTTGAGATTTTACTTTTAGTACAATTTAAACTAAAAATGAAAATCTAAACTAGATAATAATTATAAGATGGAGGGAGCACTATTTAGAGTATCATTTATTTTCCTTTATCCTTACTAATAGTTCAAGTTTTTTTTTTAACATAACTTGACAATTTTTGCAATATAGTTGACAAATTTGTATGGTTTGGAAAAATATCGATTTAACCACGACTTGAAGACATATATAAAATTATAAATAAACCAAAAAAAAAAAAAATCTCTTTCTTCACATTGTAACTTAATGTTTCATCGTTTTTATACTGCTTACGTGCTCAGATGTACTCCCTAATATAAATTATCTTGATTTATCATAGGTTTCACCTAATATGTTATTTTACCTGGAGAAAAACCTTAAAAATATCTCCAAATAATTTGGAGAACACAACGAATGTGAAAATTGTTAAGTTTTTTTCTTTAATAAAAAATACATACTATGTGCAATTTAGAACAAATCAAAATATCTTATATTAAGGACGGGAGAGAGAACTTCTTGTGACATAATGTTTAATTTAGAAAAAAAAAACTTAATTAATGATTAGATTTTCTTTTGTTTGAAGAATTTATGAAAAATACCAGGCAAATTTGAAGCGTTCATAAGGTCTTCAGTGATCATGCAGTATATTATCTTATTACTAGGCTTTGTTGTCGCGCGTTGCGCGACCAATGTTTTTGTTACATTTTTATACATTGTTCATAATTTAGAAAATTTACGATAGTTAAATTTCGGTAACACATTCAAAGGTTAATTTTGACAAAAAGTGTAACAATTCAATTTTCTATTTTGTAATTTTTAGCACATTGTGTCTCTTTCTGTAATTGAATCATCTTATAGTTCAATTGTAATTCCAAGATTACCTGGTGCACATCCAGAAATTGTTATCTGTACATAACTAAAAGCCTCTTAGTGAGTTTAGAATTTTGAACGCCATTGGTCAGAAATTAAATTGAGCATTCTGATTGGTCCATTAATTCACATCACATCATCAATTTTAAATTGAGCCCTTTGATTGGTTAATATATTAACATGACATCAGCAATTTATAACAAGGCTATAATGGTCAATTAATAAAGTTATTTTCCTTTTTTTGCCAATCAAAATACTCAAATACTGAACTGGTCGCGCGACGAGAAAAGTTCTAGTTCTAAAGTAAATACCTGTAAAACAAGATCATATAACACATAAATCTAAATCCATCACTTCGATGAAATCACTAACATGGTGGATGAAATGTATTGGAAAATATGAATAACAATTTCTTGTACCAAAATATGACATCGTGGATATTATACCAAAATAAGAGGATCATGTAAATATCGCATGCGATTATAATATAAGAATTTATATATAAATCAGTACTTATTGTTAATTAGTGACATGGGTCGGATTGTTCTTAACAAATATGATAACTTTTTTTCGTGAAGAAATGTTTTAATGAGCACGATGAACAAAATACACGAATGCACGTCAAATGTAGCATCTCACTGAGTAATTAGTGTTTTAAAAGCTGGGTGTATTCACTATACGTGTAATTAATCAAAATGAAAAATCTTTTTTACTGTACATTGAACGAAAGATACTTTCAAAGCAGCATTCTTGGAAGAAAAGCCCAAAAATTCTTGTCATCAGAAAGGCAGGACCAATTGGTCCGGAGAAATGGTCACTATAAGGAGTTTGTTACTTCTGTTTCCCGATTCTTTGTTTCAGATCCCAGAAGTTTATGAAATGATATGAACTTTTCCTTTGCGTTTTGATCAGTTTAGCCTGGCAATGGATCTAATGACTATGGAAGAAAGGGCTAAGAAGTAAAACGCTGAGAAACATAGAAAAGATTAAAAGGTTATTTTGTTTTTACTATTGAAGAATGCATAGGAAGTAGCTTCCCCTTGAGTTTCAGGGAATGAAAGAAACTGAATACATCTCAAAACATTATTACTCAGCCTAATCCTTTAAGCTATCAAACAATAGATTAGTTATCCTATCCCAAATCTTTCATCAATTAACTTGGGAAACCATAGATCACCATATACTTTCTTCGTTCTACATATATGAATTATGAAAAGAATACTATAGAATAAAGAATATGAATACAATCCAATAATGGATTGAAGCCAATGCATCATTTTGCCAATTGTTATTGATTAAGCTACTATTTGTCCTGCTCTATGCACAGTTGATCAATCCATGATGGCACAATGTCATTGAACCCTCCATTACGCTTCTGCTCTGAGCTAAATAGTCGTACGTCTTTCACCAAGTAATTGACCCAAGAAACATCAGGTTCATCTATATTTAGAGTCCTACTACTTGTTGCAGCAAAGCAGAATTACTGTTGTCGCAATACGCAAATGATGTTGACTTCCCCAGCTTGACTATACCTAAAAGTTGACATAGAGCAGCAAAAATGAGTGGTGGTGCAGAAGTTCATTGCCAAATCTGTCCAGATTATGCTTGAGATTTTTTTGTGTACAGTTAAAATAAAATCCACAAGAAAAAAACATAGCTCTTAATATAAATTAAATTTGAAAATCAAGGCATCCGCATCACAAACTGCAAAACCTATTCACTATATCAAAATGAGTTACACATGTCACATGCCAAGGAAACTAACTAAAACTCTGTCATCTTGCGTATGATCTTAAAACTCTTACCATGTGCAAGGTAGTTGCAAGCTTCCAAGTTCCATCCAGTGAAATTTTCAGTAGCTATTTTAGTAGACAAAATGCCATTACAGATATGGTACAAGGCCATCATTTTCTTAATATATTCCGTAAATTGAGACCTTCATTAAGGGAATCAAACGGCGTATATTAGTCTTTGGTCAGAAGAGTAGCAATTGGTTCGTTAACCTCTTCAACTACCGTCTCAATACCAATGACCCATCTATAAAATTAAAATTTTGTTAGAAATAAGGGCTCACGAGTCACAACTACACATAGATATGCTGCACACAAGCGTTAATTGAAGACAACTTTATTAGCTAGACCTCTCAATAGCAGCTCAGTCAAATTTGTGCAAGAGAGCGAGAACATATTAAATTAATCAATTCCAACTATCATGTTTGACTAAAAGAGAAAAGCTGTAATCAAGCAAATCAAAGCAAAACCTAAGATAACATCCACATATGCACCTAGATTTTTGAAAGGAGATTACAATACGAAGTTCAAAGAGAACCAAAAGCATGGAAGAATCAAATAGATGTTCGCAGGGCGAATCATTTGCAGGGGATAAATGTTTTAGACATGGATTTTCCCCTTATCATTGTGCAGAATAATGTATTGGTGGGCGACTGATCAACGATGTTAACTTTAGCAGTTCACCATCATTAAGTCTTGAAAATTACTTATTTCTTATAATAGTTATTCATAAATGTTAACTCTATATCTCTATCCATTTAATTCTTATCCCACTGATAAAAACAACTTAGAAAGAAATTACTCCACTTCAGTAGAATTCTAACATATAGGAAACATCTCACCCAACTAAGATCAACCTCTAAGAACCCTTAGATTAATTCCAAGGGAAATTACTCCGCTTCAGAAAAATTCCAACATATAACAATGAACATAAGATAAGCCACAAAGTATGTTTGAACACGGGAATAATAAAAGCAAAAAAAGAGAGAAAGGGGGAAAACCTGATTGAGATTGTTCTCATGAAGAAAACGTGCTTGCCTGAAGTGAACGGAGGAAACTTGCTTGAGTGAAAAAGAAGACGGTGTGTGCCACATAAGCCCATATACTGCCGATTCACAGCTTTCTAATAATCCTAATAAATTTGGTTATCTTTGAAATACAAAAGTATGAGAATGCATAATGAAGGAACAAAAATATTACCGCTTGCTAAAGTTGAAAAGCTCTGCCTCTAGTTTCAATGGGAACACTGATATGCTAATAGCTTCACTCAGATTCTGTGCTGCCCAAGTTCTTTCTTTTCTACTATGCAATTAAAATTTAAGCTAATTATTGAAGTCGAGAATTGAATGACAACCTAGTGATTAGGTTGCTGTCTTTCCTGGTAATAGATCAGGGTTCAATTCCCACCAAGAATTGTAAAAGGGTTTTACCCACATTTAAGTAGGATCCACTGGGGTGAATTTTTATTTTTATTTTTTTAAAAAAGCTAATTATTGAAGTTCGTCCTATGCATCGAAACAAACTACGAAGAGATAACTCATGACTTCTACAAGCAATTGAAAAAAAAGCATGAAAATTAACATGGAGAGAATCTCATACAACTACATATTTAATTGTACTTCAATTAGAATAAAAATTTAATAAAAATCAACTTAAAACTAACCTGAAACATAGCGGCAGCAGATCTCCGATGACAAGGCTCCACCACCACCACCGGCTGTCAATGCTCCACTACCACTGGCTGTGAAGAAAACAAACACCAGGAAGTCCAATTAGAGATGGGATCTTGAAGGCTTCGAGTTGTCAGCTGTGTTGAATTTCTCGCCGGCAATTAGGAAATTATTTTTCTATAACCCTAATACAAATTAGGATGGAATTCCAACTCGCCGACAACCATTACCACCAACACCTCAGCCGCACGATCAACTTCGAATCCAAAGTCTGGATTTTGATTTGGACTCCATGGGAAGCCGTGGAACTGACTGGGTCGTGGCGGATGGGGAGGGCGATGACGGTGGTAATAATGATTGTAAAAATTCAGTTTATTTTTATAAGCTCTTTTAAAACTTAAACCCCAAAACGACGTTTTTTGGAAGGCAAGGGTTTTTTCCAAAAGCTTTACGATTTTATGTCCAAAAAATAACGTTATCCAAAACGACGTCGTTTTTTCAGGTTGAGGTTTTTTCCCGAAAATCCAAAGGAATTTTTAAATTGAGATTTATGAAGTCCCGTTTATACCCTTAATAAGTCGCTGCGTCATATCAACTCCATCCGACGGACGAGATCGCTTTGAAGGTGGCCCTGAATATTTCTTGGGCATTTAATTTTTTGCCTACTGTGCCTTTATATTAAGTGTAAGGATAAGAGAAGTTGAAATGAGAGTCCATGCTGACGTATTGCGCTCATATATAGCTATTTTTGCCTGATAAAAATGACGTACTTTTGTGAAAAAAATTAATTGATCTAATCTTTAATTATGGTAAGTTCTTCAATCCTTAATTGTGAGTAATTGCTCAATATTAATGAATATTAATGTACATGACATAGATGATATAAATAATTCTCATGTTATATTTAAAATTAAAAATATTTGTAATTTTTTTTTTATTCTTATTTATATCACCATTTAAAGGGCCAGGGATAAAAAAAAGAGAGAATATACATTGCCAAATCACGGTTTTCACTATATCTTTTTAAAAATATTATATAAAATTTTTATTATAATTAATTTTAATGATTTCATATTCATTCGATACCAAACAAAATAGTCTAATAATTATCCTCTAAATTACTCAAGATATCATCTATGCACCTCTTTAACGTTTTTTTTTTAAAAGAAACGATCTCTAATTTTTTTTTCTATTTTTTACTTTTTTAAACTACCCAAAATAATTATCGTTTGTATATTTAATTTTATATTATTGTATGTGAACGAGGTAGACAACGCTCGAGTACGTATGTAGTTATTCTGTTAATTGTCCATCACATTCGAATTCAATCTATCTCATTTATAAGAGGAGTTATAATTAACCGAGTCTTATTGTAGTTAAAAAAAAAAAAAACCTTATTCATTTAAGTACTTTAAGTGTGGTGGCGTCTATTGACATCAACATGGAATTATTTTCCTAACTACTCCCTCCATTCATAAATAAATGTCGTTGGAGAGATTTCACAAAGTTTAAGAAGGCAATAATTATCTCGTTAAAATATTATAATACCCTCATTTATTCTTAATTCAATTGTAATCCCAATAAAAATCAGTTCTAATAGAATTCTACATTAAACATCATTACAATTTTCAATATAAGGGTAATATTAAAAAAAATTGACAAAATATGCCTCGATTTGTGAGAACGACATCTATTTTAAAAAATTTAGTTTTTCCTCCAACGACATCTATTTGTGAATGGAGGGAATACTAAATTGTTATTCAATTTTTAATATAAGAATAAAAAAAAACTAAAATATCAGTACCTAATAATTTTTTTTAAAAGAAATTCAGTCCACAAAACGACACTAATTCATGGTATAGAGTATAGACATTTATAAAGGTTAAAATTATATTGGCATTAGACAATTATACGACTATTGTATTCTATGTTTTTTACCATTGCAATAATGATATCACCAAATATTACAGCTTTCAGTGGTTTTGTGTAAAAGTTTCCACTCTAAATCCACGGAACATTTTGGAGCAATGAACAGTCGTGCCTCATCATTTTCAAGAGTGTTCATCCGGATCAAAATTATTTATTTTATACATAAAAAGGTGGTAGAAAAATTTTGTATTATAAAGAATATTTATTTTCTCCCTTTCAATTTAATATGGACCTTTTCGTTTCTCACCAGTTCCACTTCAGACAATAAATTTAACTTCACCTATGAATTCTTAAATATACACCTAATATTAATACTAAAATCTAGTGCATTAATTCATTTCTAACCCCTAATTTTACCATATTGACTACTAACCACTAGTCATTAAAAAAAAATCTGTAATGGTGGTAATTAAAATAGAAATTAGAGCTAGTTAACACCCTTTTCAACCCTTTCTCGTTGGAGCGAATTGAATTGTTTGTTTGGGTAAATATAGGAGTTACCTAACTTTTTTCTGAAAAAGATAGGTTAAGTTGAGCCAAAATTTGTATTATTCATAAAACAATAAATATTATATTTCTTTTATCTTAAAATGATTATCGGTTTAGATTTAGTACAATTTTAAACTAAGAATGAAAAAATCAAATTAGAAAATTATTTCACGAGACAGAGGGACTAATTTCAAAATTTTGGAATCCCATTTCTTATAATTGGTGGTAAAACCATATGCGAAAATGGCTACATTGATGATGGATGGGTGGGCATTTAAAAATGCTGATATGGTGAATTTAGGATCACCTTAATGACCAAATCTGTTGAGGTTTGCGGTGATGGGGTTACACCTTATTATCTAGGGAGTAATATATTTCCCCACCTAGGGAGGAGCGTCTTTTTTTTTTTTTTTCGTGTCTGAGTTTCTCTGTTTTGTGACTTGCGAGTGGCGAAAGCAAAAAAGAATATAAGCTGACGAAGTCTGGTACTCTGGTCAAAAAAATTTGAAGTGGGAAAAGACAAAAACCGAATAATATCTGTTCACCTGATTACTCTAGTACTACTCCACAATAAATAAGAGATAAGAGAAGAGCGTATTTATGTACTCATTCAAGGCAACCCTTACACACCTACCAACCCTCCTTTCAGTAGTTCAGCTCTTTTTAAAACACACAAACTTCATGCAACAAAAAAAATAAAATAAAGGCAACTCGAAAAGAGAGGCCACTTTTTCACACACACACAGAGTAGCCCAAAAACAGTAAATACTCCTCCGGTACGTTTCTCCATCGCCAATCCACCACCGCCGCTCCGCCATCTAAACCCTAACGTAATTTCTCCTCCCGTCACCTCTTTCTGCTGCGTAACTTTAATTCCTTTGTGATTTTAAAAGAATGTGTTCGATTTCTTCGGAAGATTTTGGACTGATTTTTTGTGGTTTTTTTAATTTCTTTTGTCTGATGGTGTTGTGAAGGTTAAAATAAAAACCAAAAAAGAAAAGGAGATGGCGACGAAGGAGAAGAAAGAGTCCTGGAAACCTCGAAAGGAAAGTGGAAATGGGAAGGGGAAGAGAAAGAGGAGGGGATCAGAAGAGGACGACATCGTGATGATTGATCCACTGGTGGTGAAGGGAAACGGGAAGGGGGAAGAGAAGAAGAAGAAGAAGAAGATGGAGGAAGCTGTACAAAAAGAAGAAGAAGGGGTCGTTCCTGCACTGGAGAAAGAAGGGAACGACGTCGACATTGATAAAACCGCAGATTGGTGCTTGGTTTGTAAAGACGGTGGAACGCTTCGAATCTGCGATTATCCGTGAGTTCCGTGTTTATTATTCAATTCAGAATTTTCTCTATCTACTAAATATTCTTTATTATTAAGAAGAATAATATAATAAATCTTCCTCAATTTCGGGATTCATCGTTCATTGGCCACTTAATTTATTTATTATTTAATTGTAATATAACTATCTATCCGCCATTGCGCCCAACTTTTTTCTCCTGGATAATCTCTCCCCCTCCGGAAAGGCGGCAGGGGGAAAAGTTATTTATTTATTTTTTTTAAGTACTCTGAAGAAAATTGAAATTTTTCCTTACTGTACAGTATATACCAATTAAGTCTCTAGTCGCAAAGGGTTTCAAGGGAAAAAAAATCTGCCTCCAAATGGCAAACTGCAACTAAAACAACAGAGAGTTAGATTAAATAAATAAATGAACCACTTTTAGTGTTTCTGATATTTGTAGTTTTAATTTTTTTTTTTTATTTGTAGTTTTAATTTCATTATGCAGGAAATGCGGTAAAGTTTACCATTTCAGTTGCCTGAAGAAATCCATATCCTTTATGAGGAGTGATGCCTACTGGCAATGCCGTAAGAATGATAACATACGTACTTGTTTGAAAATTACTTTTTTTGTGCTATCTGTTTGATAGTTTGTGTATTGATATATGTATATGAAGGAAAAGTTGATTCTTGAAAAAACTACTAATTACACACGTCCATTTCATTGAGTAGAAAAACTGTCTCCATTGTTCAACGTGCCAAACTGGCCATGTTTGATTGATTAAGTGGATTCGAATTGGATTAAAACTAGAGGGGTGTCCATAATTAAGTCAAAATTAATTCAATATTTACATGATCATTATACTCATTCAAATTCACACTCTAGATATCACTTTTTCTTCACTATTGTATCGTTATCATTATTATTTTTGGTAGAGCTATCCTTTTTCTTCATCTACTTGCCATCTCTATTTTCAAATCGAGATGTAAGTTTCCATGTATGCAGTAGGTAACACTGTTTATGTATGGCAGTGGCTTATGTTAGAGAGAGGTGAAGCACACTTTGGAACATCCCTTTTTCCATTTTCCAGCTCTCTTATAGGTAAACCGAACCATAAAGGCCTAGGGGACTGTTTCATGAAGTGCCGTTTCTCAGTTGGTTCTTCCTATTCTTTGTAGTTCTGGTTCTGGTCTCTTAAAAAGAATACACGATTGAAAACATAGTTAGTAGCTGTACTAAAAAATGTAACTACAAATGAAGGCGAGAAGAAATGTACATTTGTATTTATTTTCATGCTGGTAAGTGGTGTACTTAACAAGTGCTTTATACATATTATTCTTTGAAACAAATCCTAAATAAAGATCCATTATTCGCATTGAAAATGAAACTGTTGATTAGATTCTACGTGAAGATGGCTAAATAATATATTTGAGATTAGTAACGATACATGAAATATGTTAATACTAAACACTGCATGGATTCTTCATGATAGTAAGGTTGGGCAATATATGGGTACTATGGGCCTACTCCATAAGGGTCAGTTCTGTACTTAACCTACTTAGCTTAGAAACAGACTAAACTACTAAGCATCTCCAAAAAGCCATTTGTGAGTATATGTTTTTATGGATATAGTTTTCACTAAAGAGTCAAGATAAATGTTTTCGCACAATCAAGGTTAGTTGATGAGCTTAGGAGTGCCGTTTGTCTTTTTGTTAGTAGCCAGTGTGCAAGTGTGAAAATTGATGGAATGGCGTAGTTGCTTGTTAAATTTTATATATTAGAAATGCATCTTTAAAGAGCTTGAGAACTGTTACAACGAGGTTGGGACAAATGAGAATGTGTTGTATGTCCTCCATGGGTATAAATGGATGATGAAATTGGAAGGAACATTTTTTTAGAATCGCAAAGCAACCAGTATTTAAATTAGAGAGTTGGGCTGAGCAGCTACAAATACATGCAAAAATGAAAACTTGCTGAGATGAATTATTGACATGCCGTGGTGATGAACCAGATGACATAGAATAAGTAATCAAGTACAATTTGGCGGGAAAGACCCAAAATATCTGAATATGGAAAGGTTTGCTTCATGTGATTGTGAAGTCAACCTTTTGGATGCCCCCCTATGGGTGAAGTAAGAGAATAATTGATTCAAATTATAAACTGGGAAGATGAAGACGTGAAAACAGTTTGAAAGAAGCTTTTAAGTCGGCATGCTGTGTTTAGGCCGAAATAACATGATAGTAAGATGTCAGCCATTTGACTGACCCCAGCACAGTATGCTCATTCTCCTGATGTTTACATGTTGTCTGGCATTTGCGGCTTTGTCCTGTTGGTTCTTATTTTTGTTGGAACTAATATGTTCTGCTTTTGATATTTTGATAATTATGCTTTGTTATTTTTTCAGCCCGGCACACATGCTATCGTTGCCAAGGAACCGCAATTGTCTCATGCTATTGCTGTCCATCTGCAGCATGCAGTAACTGCTTCCGTGATGCAGAATTTGTTTGTATTGGCGATGAAAATGGATTCTGCAAGAAGTGCATGAAGTTTGTGCTACATTTTGAAAAAAAAACCAGGGTAACCTTTTCTTTGAGGCTAGAGCTGACATGAATGCTTTGCTTTTTATAAATCAAACTTGACAGAGAATGAGTTGCAAATTTCAAGTTCTCTAATTTTCTCAAGAATAAAGAACTTGTATTTTTTTTAAGACGAGTTGAGATCAAAATTGTTCACACCAAGGGATAAATTATGTTAGAGTAAGTTCAAGGCTTTTCTTAAAGTGTTAAGTGATGCAATTTGTTTTTGCTCCCCAAATATTTCAGATTTCCTTGAAGTTAATCATATTCTTCGATTACTGAAATAATTTCATCCAAGTTGTTTTCTTGTTATTAGTGAATTAGTTTTTGCTCCTGCATTTTAAAATCTTCAAGGCACCAGAATGGTTATATAAGCTTCAAAATCCTCTCCTGTTGCTATCCATAAAAATCATCATTCTAGGCATTTTCTCATTAAAGTGCTTCGCCCTTGTACATTCATTGCTTGGTTTGCTTCTATTAGTCATTTCTGTGCAACCTTTATGTCATACCACTTTCTGTAGTAAATTTGAGTTTCTGTTTACTCCTGCAGCTTTATGTGATACCACTTTCTGTAGTAAATTCGGGTTTCTTTTTAGTTCTGCTGCATAGGTCATGTCAAATCTGCTAATCCACTTGGGGGGCAACCTCCCTGCATTTCTTATGTTCCTGACTGGGATGAGATGAATGCACCTTGTCTGCATGATTTTGTTATTTATTACTCATCTAGTTGCTTAGTTCATCTTCTTAGTCGTTTTCTAGCTTATCTGGAGATGTGTCAGTGTAGGTTTCAGTTAGCTTCCAGTTGTTCCCGTTTACACTTCTGTCTTTCCGTTAGAAACCTATGTTTATGGTTTCATGATTTGATATTAAAGTTTGTTGTTTCGGAAACATATTTATTGCTTTTATGATTATGTTACATGTGGCAGCGAAAACCAAGTGATGAATCTACTTCATATGAAGATTTCATGGAATACTATGAAGCTGTAAAGAAAAAATCTGGCTTCACTTTGAATGATATCCAAGCTGCATTTAAGGGGTTGAAAAGCAGAGGGAAGAGAAAGTCTTCAACCTTATTTAAAGCAGAGGTAACTGAGAGACTTGGGGGCTTGCAAAAGATGAGGTCGGATTCCAGCAAAACTCCCTGGGATGAGGAGAACCCTCTCAGCGACATTATTATGGTTCCATCCCTTGTTGCTGAGAATGTTAAAATAATCTACCTGACTAGAAGTGTTATTGAGAAGCTGCTAAGGCAACCTGAATCATTTGAGGACAAGGTCAAAGGTTCGTTTGTTGGGGTCGACTTCCCTCGAAAGGGAAACCCTAACAAGGTTGATCGTCAGCTGTTGCAAGTGATAGGTATCTTTTGCTATAGTTTCAGCTGCATTACTTCTTGTCTTTGAATTTTATGAAGTTGCATCACTTTTTGCCATAAAAAGTAAAAATTGCTAGAAATGATGATAATTAAAAGTAAATTAGTAAGCTGGCTCTCTAATTTCACCGCTGTTGGTATTGATGGCTGCATAACTTAAAATCTTGGTGGGAATTGAGATTTTAATGGCTTTTAAGTTCGTTTTTTCTTGTAACTTGGAATCAGATACAGAAAACGATGTACAAGAAACTATTCAGGGATTTTAACTATGGAAATGAGCACCCTTGTTTCATACCTGATATTTGATCTCTACCCATTCTCATAAGATTCTTAAGTTCCGGAAGTACCTTCTATAGTTCTGAAGATATATGTTAATTTATTTAGTTAAAGTTTTAGAAGCTTGACTTAAGGTTCTTATAAAAAAATTCAACGGCACAAATGTTTTCAGTTTGCTTTCTTTCTTTTATTTTTCCCTGTGCTTTTAGACTTGGTACATGAATGCCACTTAGTTACAGGCCATTTGCAATTGTTAATTTTTAAACTATATTGAGACCAAATTAAACTGCAATTAGTTTTACTTGACATGGTTAAAACGAAAATTTCGAAAGCAAATACGCCATCTGTCCCAAAAAAATAGTCCAGTACGAACTTGAAAAATCAATGTGGACTACTCTTTTGGGACCAAGTAGTATTATTTTGTTGAAATAATTGTTAGCTTTCTTTTGAGTACATGAATTAATTGAAATCATCTTCTTGAAAGTATTTGATTTCCTGTTATTGCAGAGTGTGATTCTGCTGTATTTTCTGTACTGCTAATTTGTTTACAATGTTAGTTTTGTCTTGTATGAGTGAAGAAATGCTCATTGCTCAATCTTGTTATCATTACTTTTTCCGTTTCCTTTTTACTCATCAATTTTAAACTGATCTACGTCGGCTTGCTTTGTTTTGACTCGCAAATCAACGGCAAAATTGACTGAATAAATCGTCCATAAAGGAAGTAGAGGTTTCAAGTTGGAATTGACTCGAGACATTTCATTTAAAATATAATGAACATTTGACTGTTAGAACTTCTTTCTACTCTCAAGTTCACCTATAGAGCAAAAGTAGACCCTCACACATGTTTGAACTTTTGACAGGTCAAGTAGGGAAGAGCTTATCAATTTTGTATTGAGAAAATGGCATGTCAAAGTTTCTTGTTGAAGAATCAGACAACTTTAAACTATAGCTATTAATTTGGAATTGTAAAAAGCTTAGAAGATTGAATCTGGACTGCGTTCTTTTCTGTTTATCTTTGTTGTTCTACACATTTCAACTTAGATAGTGAATATAGTGGTGAGTATCTCTCTTAAAACCTTCTTGCCACATTCTGGTGTCCAATTTTTCGGCTGACACCCTTGAATGTTTGTTTACAGGTATAGCAAAGACTTTATCACATGATGGACAGATGTCTATCAAACTTCAAGCAAAGAATATGCCAAATGGTATATCCATTGACATGGTTTCTAACCTTGATTTCCGTGAGGTAAGCTCTCAAAGAAGAATATTTTATGCCGATGTTGTTGTCAATTACATGCCTTCAGAAGATGCCTTTTCATTCTATGTTTTCCTTTTGCCAATGAAAACTTCATTTTCAAATCCATGAAAGAATGAGCAATTATTTCCCTCGAAGAGCTAGGAAAAAAAATGCAATAGTAAATTCAACCAGTTATGAAACTCTTTAAGGTAGTGCAAGTATGACTATCACAAAATGCATTATTCTTAAAATGCACATTGATAACTGAGGATACGATCTAACTTTACTGATTAAAGTGCCATAATATTATAATTTTGGATTTAATAACGCCTTGTACAACTTAGGTAATGAAATAGAATTGTCTGGGTGATATTTGCATAATTCGTTTGCTGAAGTCTAATTGAAAACACTTTAAGATGGCTTTATGATTTTCGGCTTAAATTGTATGGTACAAGGTTTGATCAGGCATGTGATCTGCTATGTGAAATTTCAACAAAGATTCTTGGCTTTGATATAGTTGAAGTGGGGTCTGAGATTTGTAAATGGCCTCCATCTTGAGGATGGAAAAGTTTCCAAGAAGTTTTAATTATGAAAAACTAAGAAATCGATAGCCCTTGCCAAAACAGTTGATGTTAAGTAAATGCCAAATGATGTTGAAGAACTGATGACAGCTAGGTTCCATTGAGGGGTATGCAAGACACGCTGCATTTCGTTCTTATCGCTCTTTCTTCCTTTTCCCTTTTTTATTTGGTCACTGTATGAGTCCCAATGTATACATTCCTTCTGAGTTAACTCCTTCAGCCAACACCTGTCTTAACTCCTTAACGTAGTTTGAGCCCATATTTCTTTTTATTCGCACGTCTCATTTTATATTGTCCTCCTTGATTTAGTTCCAACTGTGACTGCTTGGTGTTTTTGTTTGTTTTTTTGTGTCCATTACAGAATTTGTGTAAAGATCTGAGGCAGAAAGTTGAAGATGGCCTCATTGAAATGCCTGCTATCGTGAGTAATTAATTCTTTAAATATCGCATATGAATTACCCACAATTGTGCTAGCTAATCGCTAATTGTAGACTTTGACAAAACATACAATACTTTACCCTTGGCTTTGTTTGGAATAGCTGCTGTAGTATAAAATTTGTTATTGCATTTCTAGTATTGCATGGTTTAAATGTCAAAGATTTCAGTAGAAATAAGAGGTAGCTGAAGAAAATGTTTCAATTGTCAACTAGAATGCATATAGGTCTGAGCCTAACAGGTCAAGAGTTGCAACATTCAACGTCTAAAAGGAATGCATATAGTTAAGAGCAAACAGAAGAAAGTTGTTAGATGTATGGAAGACAAATCATCAGCAGCCTGCCGAAACTGCATTAAACGTGCATTTTCTTCTTATAGAAAAGCACTTTGCCTGTATAGTTGTTAAAATTCTGCTCCCCCAACCCCCTCCCTGACCCCAATTGTTTGTACCTTCTTCTTGCATCAAATAGCTACCATCTCATCTTTTCCCAATGACATCAGGTCAGGTGCTTAATGACAATCTATGGCCACGGATCTTATTAAACTCATTTTGTGTGTTTCATCTTTTCCCAATGCGACATCACATCAGGTGCTTAGGGATAATCTATGACGTGATCTTATTAAACTCATTTTTTATGTGTTTGACTGGTTCACTGTTTGCTCCAATGAATTATAATAGTTGAACAAGCATCAGATGAACTTGCATCGGTCTTTAATTAACTTGCACTTTTTTTATAGTGTCAGCTTTTATGGTTTGTCTATGGCTTCTATTGATATTTTATTTATTATCTTGTGGGGAAAATCGTAGTTTTTGCTTTTTTTTTTTTGACTCCAGATGTGCAGTTTATGTTATTTTACAAGCAGCTGAATACCTGTGTTTATCACAGGAGGAACTTGAACGGAAGGCCGAAGTTTTGAGTGAAGATATAGTCGATGACGTATGTCCTCACATCTTTGGTTAGAGTATTGTGTGACTCTATAAGTATTATATCTCATATCTCATGGTGGTGATTTGCTTGTTTTTTTGAGAATTCATTAAATGTCAATTAATCTGAATTCGTGAATGTAGTCTAAGATCTTTGCAAAATCATCTAATTTATTATAATTGTACCTTAAGGGCTGAACTTTATGAAAATCATGTATTATGCTTGTTTAATCACTGATCTTTGAATGATTTCTCTTCTGTTCCGTCTTCAACTTATTTCTGGTTTTTATTTGACTAGATTATACACGTGAGGGACTCACTGCTTTTTCCTACTCTTTTTTACTTCTTTACCATTGTAGTTGCCTAGTTGGCCATCTTATATGTTTAGATTTATTTTGAGAGATCTGAAGCTAGACCTTTAGAATTTTTGCAATTGCTGGAAATTTTATTACAGTTGTACCCTTTAGTTGACCGTTGGATGTTAGGAGCTCCCTTCATTGTTGATTTTTTATTTGCAAGATGAGTTCACTTTGCGATAGGTTTTTTGCCTAGAGATACTCATCTACACTATTTCCAGTCTGGTAAGCATTTTTTAGTCTTCAAGTAATGTTTTGTTAGCTTGCTGATGTTCTGGAACTTACATGTTGTGCTTCGTAAGTACATTTGATGGTATTTGTGATCCCTCTTTTGCTTTAGTTGTCACTTCAGTTCTTTCTATGTGTCAGTTGATAGCAAGGGACATGAAGCGGTTGCAACAGGACAGTGATACAGCTAATGAAAAGGGTCTGAGACAGAAATATCCTTTTATTGGTGTTGCTGAGTTTACTTGTTAAATAACTTTGAAATGATGCTCGTGAGTACTATATTACTAGATGATTGAGAATATAGATGAATCACTAAAGACAGGCACTACCATGTGAATACGATGCTGTTATCATCAGATTTGGCTCAGAAGTAATCCCCAAACAAGATTGAAAGAGGAATATCATGTATTACATACAATTTGGACCTTAACCAATGTTATTTTCACATTTTTCCGACTTGAAGACAAGAGGAAAATGCTGGAAACTCCTTCAGAGAGGGTGAGGTTAATACGCACGTACCAAAGAGTGATTTCTGAAGTTAGAAACAAGAGCACCATGTTAGAAGATACCGTGAAGGAAGCAAAGGGAATCAATGGCTCTCCTGATACTTTTACTCTCTGTGAAAGTGTGAAAATTCCTTCAGGTATATGGCAGACCAACATTTGATTTCAACATTGTTTTTGTATTTGTCCTTTCGGCTTATACGTCTCCATAAACCAGGTTCTGAAATATTTGCTACAAGGCCCAAATCAAATGATATATTGAGTTCACTGTAGACACTGGTCCCAACATGGTTGTGAAGTTAGAAGTTTTGAATTAACTGTCTAATTTATTTTCTCATTGTCACTTTTCATGGCATACCAAAGGCCATGTAGTAGTCAGCCTTGTGAACGCTGCTTTATCTAATGAATTTTGATTTCCTTGTCATGGCGATCAATGAACGTGTCAGTATCAGACGTTTGTACTTCATTGCTTTCTTGATAGTTTTCATCCATTTGCATCCAAAATACACAACATTTCCTGAAAGTCACTGTGTTTTAGTAAGGCTTCTACCAAAGTATCTCTCTTTTATGCTCATTAAGTTCCACCCCTTATTAACAGACATGCGGGGTTCATTGCACTTAGTACTAATTTACTTTAGCATAATTCTAATCACTTTCTTGTTAAGAATTGATAGATTATAGTAGCCTTTCTCTTTCAGTTTAAACAAGGTTGTAATATGTTTATGTTTGCGACCACCCAAACGATAATTACTATGAATGCTATCACACTCATTTGTTTCAACTAATCTTATTTGGGATGCATTCACTCTAAGATGTGTGTTGTTCAATTCCTACGAATAATTCCAATAGTTATAATATTTTTATTTCCTCTTTTAACTTCTTTTCGTCCTGTGTATGATAATGAATGTCTTCCAATTCTACACTTTCTATTATTAAAGTAGTAGCTCAGAGTAAATAGGTAATTCCGTTTACTGTGTTTGGGTTTTTATTTTAATAGTCGGAAGCAACAATTTTACTCAATTGTTAGTAATATTTGTTGAACTAACTGTACTTGCGGGTTGGAGTACTTCCTCAGTTTTTCTGTTGATTACAATTCTTGGAAAATCTATTTGTGAATGATCGGAATCGTTGCTTATATTACATTGTCTTTTGCTGCAACAGTAAAGCAAATTAAACATTATCTGAGTTGGATTGTGCATTCATTTTGAGGTTAAGATGTTTAGAGTGATTTAAGTAGAAAGCCTGAGACACTTGTTTGTGGAGTATTTGTTCGTCATCCATTGGAATGCATCTTTGTTTGGAGCAAGTGTTTGCTTGACCATTTCCATTCAACTTCTTATAGTTCAGTTCTTGGTTTGGATTGCTTGTCAATCTGTTCAACCAAAAAGGGTTGTGACTAGAAATTTCACTCTGCTAAATAGGCCCGAAGACCTGCGAAAATATGTAGTGAATCTGTTGAATAGTGATAAGAATGAAGGTTGTTGACTTTCACATCCGAGTGTATGATTTCTCTCTTATCAGTAACGCATCAGTTTATGACGGGGAAAGTTTCTGTTGAAACACTATCAGATTTGTTCTCTCTAAGTTGTTTCGTTGGAGGCTGATATTTAAACGTACAATTGTTTTGCAGAAACTGTAGTTAGCAGAGACTGCAACAAAGCACCAGTTGTTGCTCTTCCAGTTCTAGAGGAAGGAAGAGTATGGGTACATAAGCCTGTTAGCAGGGCTCCACCGTCTCTGACCGCCAAGACTAGAGTGAACTCTAATCAGCAGTTTCTGGAAGTGAAGCACAAAGATGTCATTCCAGAACAACATGGCCATGGTGAAAGACCTACAATGAGGCAGCCTGTTGCACTTGCTGCAGAGGAGACACAAACAGAGCAACAACTAATGCACCTTACATCATCTTCTGGGTATTGCAGACGCATCTCATCAAAGGGTCAACAATCTGATGTTGAAGGCTGCATCTGCGAGGGGAATAGGAACCTAGAGCAGGCTGCTGGATCAATGGTGGACCAGGCACAAGAAAATGACGAAGAGCTAATTACTGTTGCTGATGATTCCAATTTGCAGGTAACCTTTTCCTCAATCCCGTTCTCAGTTATGTTAAAATGTGTGCATTTGTTTCTTTCTCAAGAAAAATTTTGCTTGGCAGAGTGTAAGCTGGGAGAGTGAATGCAACATTCTGCCACCATCTTGGGAAGGGACAGAGGACCAGAAGAGGTTTGACGTTATGAATGAAGAGTTCGTCATCAGTGCTACTGAATCAAGTGCTAAAGTACTTGCCGTGAAGAACAACCTTGCTAAGATGGATGATCAGCAGCGAAGCCTTAAAGGTATGGTAAAGGAGAGTAGCCCCTACATGACTGCTGCCGAATTGGCAAGAATGGTGGAAAAGATTGATGAAATCAATGATCAAATCAAGAACATGAAGGTGGACATGGAGCAATCTGTGGAAGGGTCCTCGCTTGTCTCTTATAACAAGAAGTCAGAGATATCCCTCATGGATCTGTTCAAATTGTTAGAGCCTGTTGCAAATTTGGCTTGCACAAAAACTTTGGAGGAGATTAAGGCAAAGCACTTCCCAGATTTGGATTTGAAGCAATTCCCGATTTATGACCCTACTGTTACCGAGAGGGTGAGCCCTGTGTTTAGAGGAACTATCGAGTCATTCATTAATGAAGGTTTAGCACTTTCACAGGTAAAAGTAGACGCTGAGGAATCCCTAGTGCTGCAACCTCTTGCTTCTGAACATCCAGAGGTGACTAAGAAAGTTAATCTACCAGCTCAGTAAATTTATCCCCTAGTGTTGTTCTTGTTGTGATCGGTGTGGAAAGCTGGGGAGGTGGGGGATACGAGTCTGGTTTTTGGTGTGGTGCAGAAACGCCTTTGTGCTTTCGGGTTCTGTTGATTTGGTCAAGCTAAAATATTACAAGGCTAAAGAGATTTTATTGATGTGTTTTCCTTCAATGTCTTTAATTGTACGATATAATATCTAGGTTTTTATCGTTAAGTCATCCACCACAATTTTCTGATTGTCGCCTGTAATGTTACTGTGCATTTTCTCGTCATGTCTATGAATGCTACAAATGCATAACTGACTTCTCAAGTAAAATCCATAGATTTTGAACCAAGTAAATTCTTGTCTAGTGTCTGGCGGAAACCTCATAGTGGAAATAATATTACTGAAGTTGCTTTTTTATACGAACGGCAAACATTCTGTTGGCACAGTTGAGGTCATAACAAGAAAATCTGGAAAATTGGGTTAAACAATCATCAAAATTAGATTCGTCTAAAGTCGACAATGAAGTTTCTTGGTGTTTCCTAATTCTTACTTTTGGAAAAATTGGGTTCTTGTTCATTGCTTGTAATGCTAACCAAAATTAGATTCGACTAAAGTCAATGAAGTTTCTTGGTATTTCCTAATTCCTACTTTTGGAAAAATTGGGTTCTTGTTCATTGCTTGTAATGCTAATCATGAAGTATGATACTCATTGAAATGTAATGTATTGCATGGTGGCCAAAGTTGTTTGTTGATAGCAATTTCATAGATGAAACAAATTTCGTTAATGCAACCATCAAACAAGAAAGTACGAAGATTAGTTGTCTATCCCATGAAACTCAAAAGAGTGCGAAAAATTCACAGTAAGACGATCATTTATCTAAGGAATTCTATCTCTTAACTCAAACCAAGTAAAGAACACATTGATGGAGACCATCGAGCTAACACTAATGGAGAAGGATTTGTTGCTGCCAATAATGGAGAGGACGAGCAACTTGAGGTCGTGAATGCTAATGGAGGATCTAAAGATGCTGCTTTAAAGAATAATTCTTACATCCGTGATCAACTCTCAAACATTGTTGGACCAATGACTCGTGCTAGACGCAAGAGGATGGATGAATCACTTAATAGTCTAATTACTACTACATGGGCTAAGGAAGAAATTAAGCTTGAAGATTACAAGCTCAAGACTATTAATTTGTTGCAAGTGACACCAAATGGACTTGGCCCATTTGGAGAGAAGGAATTTTCAGCCCTCACTCCAAGGAGAGCCGCCGGCCACACTCCTCATTTTGGTCGAATAGATCCCTAAAGTTTAGGGGTGAGATCATTCAAATTTTATCTCTTTGAAAGATAAGACTTTATCTCTTTAAAGGATAATATTTGGGATGATTCCTTTTATCTTATTTTTGAGTTTTCCTACAATAAGGAGTCAACTTTTGATGTCTACTCAACCGTTGGATGAAGACTACATCAAGATGGATGGCTAAGATCACTCTACAAAGAAGATGATGATAGAGTTTTAACTCAAGGGAGATTCTATCCATAGGAATCTTTCTAAGAGATTATCTCTTTGTATTTTAAGTTTTAATTAATTCCTACATAGTCTTAAATGTTTTAAGACTAGTAAAAATGTCTAGGTTCGTTACTTATCACTTAAGATAACTAGGAGTCTTTAGAGTTTGATTTGATTTCAAATTCTTAGAGATAGGAATAGAGGTGAAGAGTTGTGTTCTTCCTCTACTTATTGAGAAGAAAATTCGACCACTTCTTCTATAAATAGGGACCGAATTTCTCTTGTCTAACGCACCTTATGTCATTGATATTTTCCTGATGAAATTGGTTAAGATTTTATTCCTATCGTGGAGTTCTTGTGAGAACTTCTTTGTTTAGTTGTTGCATATGTGTTGTGACAATTATTAAACTTATCTATCTTGTTTAGTTCACTTGATAGTTGCGTCTTCAGCATTGGATCTTTCAAATTTTGGTTCTTAAGCTCATAGATCTCATATCTATTGGGTTTTCCTACACAATTATCCAAGGGGTCTCTGCTTGGTTAGAAATAGATCTCTTCATTCTTGATTTGGGTTGTTCTACCATTGAATTCGTGAATTGATCCACGTGAGATCTATACCAAAAAAAAAAATAAATTTTGGTTCGAGTCTAGGGTTCTCGGCCTCCCTATATTACAAAAAAAAAAAGAAAGAGAAATAGCCGTGCAAAAAAGAAAATCAAGACGGCATAGAAGAAAAAAGAGTCTTCTTTGATAAGGTACATTAAAGGTTGCCTTGCATTAGGAGATTTCAAAAGAGTTGGAAGTGAAGTTGGAAAGAACCTTCTTGAAAAGGTATATTCAAAGTCTATCTCTATCTAAGAAGGTTAGATAAAGTTATGTTTGATTGGGAGTTTATCTTTGCTATTTAATTGCCTATATTCTCTCAAAAGATAAGATTCTTTTCAAATCTTATCCTAATCTTATCTTATTGGATAAAACCATCTTGTAATTAATAAAATCTTATCCTTATCTCATCTTGTAAAAGATAAGATTCTCTTTAAATCTTATCTTAATCTTATCTTATTGGATAAAATCTTATCCTATCTTATTGGATAAAACTTGTCCTTATCTTATCTTAAAAATAGGATAAAATCTTATCCTTATCCTACAAGAGTTTGAGTTTGAGTTGGAGTCTGAGATATAATCTGAGTTTTCTTATACTTCGAAAGCAAGATCCCTATTTTTTCTCCAAACACTCGAACGAGATTCGTGTTCTCCCTCGTTCTTTTATGGAATTTCCCTAAATATACTCTATGTGCTAATTGATTTTGTCTGCTTTTGAGTGTTTTATTCGAGTGGATTGTTTAATTAATTGTTGTGGTGCATATTGCTATTACTTGAACATTGAAGCCGATCCGGAACTTTACCAAAGGTCTTTAAGTGGTAAAAGGCTTGAGTGCTTTCTTTCTACTCCACTTTGATATTGGGGAAAAAGCCAAATAAATCCCAAAGAGAGCATATAAAGGTGATTTGTGTGTGATACTACCAAAAGGGGGGAAAAGTAAAAGATCATTGGTTCGGAGAAGTGAGGTAGGAACGTTTTCTACTAATATCCTATATTCTTATTTGTTCTTTGATCTTAAAGGATGTCATCTGGAGATGATAATGAGCAAAGAGACGATCGCTCTCAAGATGGTATGCGAGAAACTCTTGCTAGATTGTATAATGTTACTACTCAATTATGTAGTAGAATACAAGATCTAGAACTAGAGGTTCTCAATGGTCGCGCTCAAGGTAATGAAGGTAATGAGAATCGTAATAGAGCTCATCGTGTTGTCAATAGGAATGATCCTTATGAACTTGGTAATTTCAAAGTTAAAATTCCTGAGTTTAGTGGTACTAATGACCCTGAAGCCTATCTTACATGGGAAAAGAAGGTAGAGCATGCTTTTTCATTGCAGGATTATGATGATTCTAAGAAGATTAGAATGACCATTTAACAATTCAATAACTATGCTTCAGAATGGTGGGACCAAGTTGTCAAGGATAGGAAGCTCTATGATGAGGATCCCGTATCCACATGGGATGAAATGAAGAGACTCATGCGCAAAAGGTTTGTTCCCTCTTATTATTATCGAGATTTGTGTAAACAAATTCAAAATCTTTCAGAGGGAACCAAGTCTGTTGATGAGTACTATCAAGAGCTAGAGTTGGCATTGATACGCGTAAATATTAAAGAGGAGCCTAAAGCTATGATGGCAAGGTTTCTAGGAGGACTTAACAAAAACATTGCCGATGTTGTGGATCTTTCACACTACCTAGATCCAACTGAGATATTACACAAAGCTAGGATTGTAGAGAGACAATTGGCAAAGAAGAAGTCAGATTCACATAAGTCTTCTACACCATGGAAGAAAGATGATTCAAAGAAGTATGGTAATTCTTCAAAGTTTGAAAAGGGAAGTAGTTCTAATACTGCTAATTCCTAAACCATCTTCCAATGTTAAGAATTCTACTTCATCTAGTAATACTAACAAAGTTAGAACTAGAGATGTTACTTGTTTCAAATGTCAGGGACGAGGACATATAGCTTCTGCTTGTCCAACTTTAAAGACTATGATCCTTAAAGAGGATGGAAGTTTCGAAAGTGAAATAGATGAAGAAGATGAAGAGATGCCAAGACTTGTTGAAGAAGTCGAGAAAGAAGTTGTAGAGATTCATGCTGAGGCTGGACAAGTGTTTGTCAACCGTCGAGCATTACAAACTCAAGTAGCTGAAGATGATCAGCAAAGACATAATATTTTCCATAATAAGTGTCAAGTTATGGACAAGGTATGCTTAACTATTATAAATCCAGGATCGTGTACTAATGTTGCTAGTTCATATCTTGTAGATAATATGAAGTTACCTACTATCAAGCATCCGACACCCTAACGGTTGCAATGGTTGAATGATTGTGGCAATCTGAGAGTCACTAGGCAAGTGAATGTGCCATTCTCTGTTGGAAAATATGAGGATGACGTACTTTGTGATGTGGTACCTATGGAGGCAAGTCATCTATTTTTAGGACGACCATGGGGGTATGATCGGAGAGTAAAGCATGATGGATACACAAACAAGTATTCGTTTGTGATGAATGGTCGTAACTATACCCTGTCACCTCTTTCACCTCCTCAAGTTCATGAATGTAATCTGAGAATGATTTAAGAGAGAGAGAGAGAGACGAAGGAAAGAGCAGAGTCCTAAAGATGAATCTACTTTGGACGTTCCAAAGAGATCTCCAAATGATCTACACATTCGAGAGCCAGTGGGCAAAAATTTCTTCGTTAGTCCCAAATCGGTGGAGAAGTGTTTTGCAAAAGAAACAGGTATGATTTTAATGCTTTTTCGTGATAATTCTGTTTCACTAACCGAAGTTCCTAGCAATTTGCCTAAGGTGTTTTAAAGGCTACTTCAAGAGTACGAGGACATATTTCCCGAGGAGTTGCCTAATGAACTTCCTCCTATACGAGGAATA